GAAACATGTAGATGTGGCTCTTTGGGACATGGTTTAGCAGGCATGGTGGTGTTGGGTTGATGGTTGGACTTGATGACCTTAGAGGGCTTTCCCAACTTTAATGACTCCATGATTCTATACGTAGGTGTCGGGGTCAGCTCCTTCCTTTCTCGAGCTCTTCTGTTCTTGTCTTTGGCCTCAGAGCACGGGAAAGGAGTCTCGCACATCCAAGGCAAGGGCTTCCGAAGCAAATGGCCAACCCAGGGCTGGTCGCACCCAAACTGAGGAAGTTTTCAGCGGGACCCAGTTCAGGGCAGCACTGAGCGCTTCAAAAACCCCGTCCCAAGATCCTTGTTGCTATTTTTGGGTGCATTTCCTTCCCACCCAGCTCATGCACCAACGGCACTTTTGCCTTTGGTCCCTCGCCATCCCTTTCTCTCGCCAGCCCCTGCATCTGCCAACCTAGAAACCTGGCAGGAAAAAAGCTTTTAGCACTGGACAGGACTTCTGCAGGAGCTAAAACGCTGCTGATGGGTTTGACTTTTCTCCAAAGAAACTTTTTAAATCCTTCATTCAGATTTGGAGCCCAAATGGGTCTTGCCACCTTCGAAATGATCCTCCTTGTGATTGTTTTGCTCACACAGATTTAAGAATCTCTGAATCTGAAGTGAAAAAAGCGATGGTAAATGACAAAAAGGCCACAAAGTATTATAAAGTTAACTGGGTCAAGCCACATACAGAAAACTGATAGTTTTATCAGAATGGAAGTCTCAGTCTATCCTTGCCCCCAGAACCATATTTCATAAACGCATTAGGGACGTAATAGGCCAACATGCGAGCAAGAGGGATGCTATAAAGGGTATTTATTTACCTCCCGTTCCGCACCAACCGGACGCCGTAGAAATGAGCTTTCACAGCGCCGGTGTTCGACAGACACCTTCCCACGCCCCGCCAGCGAGCCCCGTCCCCGGGAGGGAAGCCTGCACGCCGCGGTGCCTTGGAGCTGATCCCGACCCACGGAGATGGCCCGGCCGCCCGGGCAGGACGGAGAGCGGAGGCACGGCAGGGTGCCAGCCCCGAACACCGTCCTTCAGCCCTTCCTGCGGACCAGCACCCGGCTCCACTCAGTTTCAGCAATCAGGCCAAGAGGCAGACAAAACGAGAAAGAAAAATGCTTCAAACTAGAAGCAACCTGCGACAAGCAAATTGGTTGTTTAAGTTTCTTTCATTTCTAATCATTCTGGTGCTGCTGGTGAAGAACCCTATTTGTTCCCAGCAGATGATTTTGAAAACTCACCCATCCAACGCTGGGACGCAGTTGGGTGATGCAAGCTCAGAACACCAACGAGAATAAAACAAGAAGCCTTCACTCCCCTGCCAGACCTGGGAGATGAAACAGGTTTATTTTGGCTGCTAAGATGACTCAACCCAGCAAGCTCTGCAAAGGATGAAATTCAGCAGG